TGATTAAGCAGAGTGTGGTGCACAGGTACTGTTTTAGTTATGTGGTGACGCTGCAACACAAAGTGGATGGCTTTAACAAACAAATCTATCTTCTCATAGTTAAGAAGAGAAGTCTGAATTCAGGGTGCCAGCTTTAGGGAAAGGCTTTCTTTCTCTGTCAACTCTGGAGGAAGGTCCTTTTCTCTTAGTTTCCCTAGTGATATATTCACGTGGCTTAACATTGTCCCCTAACTCAGCTTGCTTTTCTGTTTAATCTCTTTTACATATTAAAAGTGAATGGCTTAAAACACATCCTACACTGATATGGTTTCTTAACATAGAAAGCCCATTTCCTCACGTCTAAGGGATAGGATTTACAAGTATTTCTAAGAGACATAGTCTAATCCCTAATGCATACAAGCTTGGAAGCAGGAGTGGCATCCACTTCCGAAATAGCTTGCCTCCAGAAACCCTATGAACTTGGAGAAACGAAGAAAGTTATACAAGTGTTCAGGTCTTTCATTCATAGGGTCATTATGAGTCACCTACTACTTGACGGCACTTAACAACAACAATGCATACAGTGGACTATTACTTGGTCATAAGGAGAAATAAAATGATACTTACTACAACATGTACGCATCTTGAAAACATGATACTAAGTGAAGTAAGTCAGTCACAAAAAGGACAAATATTTTACCACCTCACTTACATGAAGCATCTGGAATAGGCAAATGTATCAAAACCAAATTTTATTAGTGGTAAGGGTGATAATTGAATAACATGAGAAACATAATTAAAGCCACTGAATTGTACACGGGAAGACTGTAGAAATGGCAAACAAATACACACACACACACACGTTGTCGTTGTTGTTATGTACCATAAGGTCAGAACTGACTCACAGCTGACCCTCCAGCAGTTTTTCAGAGGCAGTAAGTCTCACAGGAGAAGACTTTCTCCCAAGGAGCAGCTGGTGGGTTCGAAGCATGTGTCTTTGGGTTGGTAGCACAACTCCTTACCACTAAGCCACCAGAGCTCCCCTATATGCTGACTCATAGCTACCCATACGCAAAAAGATGACACTGCCTGATCCTGCAGGATCCTCACAATCTCTGCTGAACTTTACCCACCATTCCCGCCACTGTGTCGCTCCATCTCACTGAAGGTCTTCCTTTCTTTCCCTGACCCTCTACTTTTCTAATCATGATGCCCTTTTCCAAGGACAGTCCCTCCTGATAGCCTATCTAAAGTATGGGAGATGAAGTCTTATTACCTTTGCTTCAAAAGATTACTCTGGCTGCACTTTTTCCAACACAGAATAATTTATTCTTTTGGGAGTCCATGGTATATTCACTATTCTTCACCAACACTACAGCTTAAAGACATCAATTCTTTTTCCATCTACTGTATTCATTGTGCAACTTTCACATGCATAGAAATCAATTGACAATACGATGGCTTAGGCCAGGTGCACCTTAGTCTTTAAACTGAAGCCCTTGCTCTTTAGCACTATAAAGAGATCCTTGACAGGAGATGTATCTAGTGCAGTAAATTACTTGATTTAATTTTTCTGGGTTTTTTTTTTGCACATAACACAATTTATTATTCTTGAGATATTTATAAAGCAAAGCCTAGCAACACTTATTAGCATAACAACCTGTGTTGGTTTTTTTTTTATTAATTTCAATGAACATTTACAGAAATTTTGGATTTCCATTCATTCATGGTTGCACTTTTCTCCCCACCCACCCCACCCCCACCTCCAATTCGCTCTTCTCCTTGAAAAGCAAAATAAAAACTCCTTCATTGGTATACAATCCCCCCTGCACCCCTCCACCCCTACCCCGAGTATACTCCACTCTGCAACCCTCACTCCGAACTCTTATGATAATCATAATGCCCTAAAATATATTGCTTTTAAACTGTTCTTTCCCTCATTGGCTTCAATGAGTATATATAATTTTGGGTTTTTAAGAGAAGAATTTTTTTTTCTCCTTTATTCATTGTTGCACATTTTCTAACCCATCTTCTCTCCTCCTCCCCCATCCCACACTGCAATGCATCGCTTGTTCCTAATTGTTCTCATACACATAATGCATAATCTTATATTCCTTTTCAGACAGTTCTTCCCCTCTGTTTTAATGCAGTGTTCATTATCTATTCACTCTTTCCCCATTCCCTTTCCAAAACCCCGTGTCTGTCCTATTTTATGACAATAGTGCTATACAGTATTGCCATTTGATTTTTTTGACTGCTGCTTCTATTGGTGTTGATTGTGGATCCAAGTAAACTGAAATCATTAAAGAAACCTCAATAATTTCTCCCTTAATCATGACATTGCCTGTTGATCCATTTGTGGGGATTTTTGTATTCTTAATGTTGAGATGTAATCCATACTGAAGGCTATATAATTTTTTATCTTATTCAGTAAGTGTTTCAAGTCTTCTTTACTCCCAGCAAGTATGTGTGTGTGTGTATAGTTGTTATTAGATGTCATTGAGTCCATTACCACTCATAGTGGCTCTATGCACATCCAGCCTGAACTCTGTCCTATCCTAATTCCATCCTCATCATATCTGATACACTAGAGACCATTGCCAAAGTCACTAGGTCAGTCCACCTCCTTAGGGGTCTTCCTGTCTTTTGCTGACCCTCCACCACTCTAAGTTTTATGTACCTTTCAAAGGAATAGCCTCCCCTAGCTACATGTCCAAAGTATGAAAGACAAAGAAAGCGTCACCATCTCTCCCTCCAAAGCACTCTGGCTGCACTTTTTCCAAGATATATCTATTCTTTCAGCAGTCCATGGGATAGTCAGTACTCTTCTCCATCATCACAACATAAAAAAAACACCAACCAACTAAACTTGTTGTTGTTGTTAGGTGCCATAGAGTTAAGTATGAATCATAGAGACCCTTTGAACAACAGGTCTGAACACTGTCCTTTCCTGTGCCAACCTCACAATCTCTGACACACTCTAGTCTATTGCTGCAGTCACTGTGTCAATCCATCTCGTTGAGAGTCTTCATATCTCACACATGCACAAATTTCCTAGGGTTGAAATCAGATCCCTAACATCTTTTCATAAGAATAGCAGAAGGGGTAAAAGAGGCTGCGATTTATCTGATGATACCAGACAGAGACCCTGGTAGACCCCCACTCAGCAGCTGCTACTTTTAAGTTGGTAAGAGGTGCCTGCACAAATGGGGCCCCAATGCAGAACAGATTATCTGGGAGGCTAGGCTCTATGAGAAGTGTGGCATCAGGATTGGAGGTAGATTTATCAACAATCTGCGTTATGCAGATGACACAACCCTGCTTGCTGAAACTGAGGAGGGCCTGAAGCGCTTGCTGCAGAAGGTTAAGGAGTGCAGCCTTCAATATGGATTGAAGCTCAACGTCAAGAAAACAAAGTTTCTCACCACTGGGCCGATTGGTAGCATCATGATAGATGGTAAAGAGATTGAGATTGTTGACAGCTTCAGTTTGTTTGGCTCTACAATCAACACTCTTGGTACCACCTACCAGGAAATTAAAACACATATTGCACTGGGCAATTGAGCTTTGGTGCTGGAGAAGAGTACTAAATATACCATGGACTGCTAGGAGAACAAACAAGTTCGTCCTGGAGAGGGTGAAGCCAGGCTGCTCCTTGGAGGCAAGCAAGGATTCTGAAGCTCCATCTGACATACTTTAGACATGTTGCAAGGAGTCCTTGGAGAGGGATGTCATGCTTGAGAGGGTGGAGGGACTGCACAGGAGAGGAAGACCCTCGATGAGGTGGATTGATTCCTTCACTGGGGTAATGGGGATAGGCATGTTGGAGACACTAAGATTGGCAAGGGATAGAGTAGTTTAGGGCTGTTGTACACAGTGTTGCTATGAGTCGCAGGCAACTTGATGGCACATAACAACAACAACAAAATGAGAGGGCGGGACTGGTTCCTAAGGCTCCCTCCAGCTCTAACCTGCTGTGCTAGAAAATGAGAGAAATGTGAGCCTTTGCTGTGATCTGAAAACATTTTGAACGTGGGGAATCAAATTGTACAGCGGCATCCGAACAAAATCATATGTTAATGACTAAGAAGATTGTATTTAATCCAATGGGAAAGAGCAGAGCTGCAGCCCCAAGCTACAAGCTACGAGTGTGTATGTGTGTGTGCATATGCGGCTTTCTTCCTTGAGCTCAAACATAAATTTTAAACCACTAATACAGTAATCAGGCCTCTGGCAGCCTCTCCTGCCCAAATACACACACACACACACACACACACTCACACACTCTACTCTCTCTCTCTCCCCTCTTTCCCTCCCTCCCTCTTCAAATCAAAATGAACACACACACACACACACACACACACACACACACTAGATTAAAATGAGGAAGGGAAAAAAATTCCACCACAGCTGCTTACATCTTTTCTGTGTTTGAGTGGCTTTTATTTTTTTTTTTCTATCGTGGCGATGGTGTTGGATTGACAGGCCCTGCAGGCCTGGAATCTCAGAACTGGGGCGTGTGGGCGGCGAGCCAGGGGGATTCATTAGCATTTTGCGCTCACTCCGCAAGCGCCCCCTCTCCAGCCACCTCAATCCAAGGACAGGCTATCTCCAGCTCCAACTGGGCGAGTTGTCCCCAACGGGGACGGTCAGATGGGCAACTGAGACGCCCAGGCCAGACACGTGCTAGGACTCTGCCTGTGGGGGAGGGGGATGAAAGTGCACAGGACACCGGCTCACTGGGGGCCCACAGCGGGAAGGGTCAGGCGGCTGACCTTCCCAGGGCGAAAGGTCAGCTCTGAGGCGACAGTGACCCAGCGGCCCGGGCCTGGCTCTGGCACCTATGCTGGCCCCGGGGACCAGAGCGCACTGGTCCCGCCCGCCCGTCCCCACCGGTGGCCGCGCCCTCGCCGGGATTGGGCGGTGCGCGGCCGGGGGCGGGCGGACGGGCGGCCAGGTGAGGCTCCCGCCCTCGGCGGCTCCAGGTGCGGTGGTGGGAGCGGGGCCGCGGCTGGGGCGCCATGGCCGAGTCGCAGCTGACCTGCCTGGACGACGCGCATGTGAACGAGCGGGTGACCGAGGCGCAGGCCGCCTTCTACTACTGCGAGCAGCGGCGGGCCGCCCTGGAGGCGCTGCTGGGCCGGGGCGAGCAGGCCTATCGCCAGCGGATCCAGAAGGATCAGCTGCGGGACTTCTTGTCCAGCCAGGAGCGCCAGGCCCTCCGCGCGGCCTGGACCCCTTATGAGGACGCTATCCCCGCAGGTGGCCGCGGCAAGAACAAGGCCAAGGCCAAGGCCGAGCCCGCGGCCGCCGAGTCCCTGGCCTACTGGCCCGACCGCTCTGACACCGAGGTGCCCCCGCTGGACCTGGGCTGGACCGACACCAGCTTCTACCGCGGCGTCAGCCGGGTCACCCTCTTCACTCATCCCCCCAAGGAGGAAAAGGCGCCCCACCTCAAGCAGGTGGTCAGGCAGATGGTCCAGCAGGCCCAGAAGGTAAGGCCCCGCTCTGTCCTCACCCGAGGGTACCCCAGTCTGGAGAGCTTTGAGCCAGGGGACAGACTCCATAACCACCTTCTGGACAGTGGTCCCTGAGCGCCCTCACCTTGTGTGTGGGCCTGTGCAATGGCCTCCAGGGAGGAAGCAACACTCTTGGACAGATGTTAGTCATCTTAGGACAGTGTCCAGAGGCGCTGGCTTTTCTCCGCTCTGGCCTTCCCTGTGACTTCCTTCTCCGTAGGGAAGAGTGAGCACCATGGATCCCTGAGATTAAACGGCCGCTCCAGCCCTTCAGTCATGCTCTGTGCGCTGCCCACTCAGCCATTTTCTCATTTACTCATCAAAACAGCCCAGGAAGTTGGGGTGAGGCACCCAGCACAGCCTCCCTAGAGAAGCCCCCAGAGTCAAAGCTGACATCTTACCTCCATTTTCAATATCCCCCTCCCCTCCAGCTAGTACTAGCTCTCTGGCCGTCAGGAATGATGGAGGGAATATCTCTAGAGCCCCTCCTGCGTGCCTGGCCCTCTGCTAGACACTTAGGCAAAGGCAAGTGGCTGGACCCAAAGCTCCCACTTGTCACATCTGCCTCTGAGTGGCTGATAAGAAGACTGGAGGCAGTGGGCAGGCTTGACCTTTACTCTGTGGCCCTTCTGTGTAGGGCTGCCTTTATTTACAGAGAAAATGCAGAACATTCAGGTAAATATGCATTTCAGGCAAATAAGAAATGCTTTTCAAATGCAGGAAGCACTAAAAAAAATTATTCAGTAAGTATACATTCATTATCATAGACTCAGATTTAATTGGGCAGTGTTTGGTTTTGTTTGCTAAATCAGGGCTCCCTACACTGGCGTTTGTTAAGAAACACCAGCAGCCTTTTGCGCCGCATTCAGAATACACCACAGCAGCGGCGTGGGTTCACCACAGTCCGCTCTTGAGTGTGGTGGGAGTCCCGTTACCTTGGGAGAAGGGAAGCTTATCCTGGGAAGCCCAGTGGTGGGACTCCTTGCCCCAAAAAGATAATCTAGGTTGTTAACTAGCCAGGCAGCCAGAAGGAAAGGTTACGTTTCCCTGCTGTCCTTATTTCCACCCTGCCTCTAAGTAATGCCTCCTCATCCGACTGAAAGTCCTTTGTATATTGCAATTTGCAGAAGAGAAAGGCAAGTTTGAACACACACTCACTCTCTCTCTCTCTCTCTCTCTCTCTCTCCACTGCCATCCGGACTTTTATTTCCCTTTGCATGTAGTCCCTTTCTCCTGTCCATATCTGTTCATCTTGCCTTTCTAAGGAGTGGCTGGTGGACTTGAACCATTGACCTTTTGGTTAGCAGTAACCCAGTTAGAACGCAGGGAGAGAATGGGGGTGAGATGGCCCTGAAGTAAGAACCAGGTATAGTGAAGATGCCAGGTATAGGTTCACTATAGAAACTCCCAAACGTTAGAGGCCTAGGAACTGCACTGATTTAGTCTTCCATAAGTGTCATACCTGCCTTTTCTTAGTCACTCTTTGCAATAACTCAGTGAGATGGGACTTTTTTCCCTTCTGTTCCTTTGTTGTTGCCGAGTCAGTCTGGACTCACGATGATTGTGTGTGTTGGAGTAGAATGTGCTCTGTAGAGTTTGCAGTGGCTTGTTTTTCAGATGTGTATCTCCAAGCCTTTGTTCCTAGTTGCCTTGTGTAGATAGGAACCTCCAGCAGCCAAGCATGTGAACCGTTTATACTACCCACACGCTTCCGTATGCTTCTTAAGAGAAGTGCGAGAAGAAATCAGAATCCAGAACGGTTAAATGGCTTGCCTGTAGTCCTGTAGCTCGTGAGTGGTTTAGCGGGGATTGAAACACCAAAGTTCTTGCTCCTGATGGCTGTGGCAGCCTGGGCCTCACGCTGAAGGCTGGTGCAGCAGGATTAGGTCTAGGCATTTGAGTGGAGCCAGCCTAGCCGTTGAAAGCAGTGTATGTATTCCTATGAGAAAAGCCAGGGGCTGGGCCTGCCAACTGGGGCCACTAGTCACACATTAGATGATAGCACAGAACTCTTGTGCCATGTTCTTGCCTCTTTAAATGTTTGGAAGTGTAAACCTGGATAATGGTGGACCAATATAACATATATGTTGTACATAATTAACACAGGTAAAGCCCCCAAATCCCTGTTGCCTGTGAATCATTCCAGCTCATGGTCACCCAAGTGTTGTGGGTGCCAGCTGCTCTAGAGGAGGCCTTTTTGTCTGTAATCTCCAGAAAGCAGACACCCAGGCCTTTCTTCCGTGGTGCTGCTGGGGCGGTTCAAACCTCCATCTTGATGTTCATTGTCAGTGTAAACTGTCTGCACCACCCACAGACCCGTTGACCCGTAATTGTTCCCTGCATATCCATTGAGTGTCAGTGCTAGCCGTGCAAAGCATACAAGCTCTGACCTTCCACCCTCCCACCCCAAGGATCTACTCAAATGTGGGGGACCTGCTGTGAGGGAAAGAGTTTTTGAGGCTGCATGATTAGGCAATCTGAGAATTGCAGGGTTGGAAGGGAAGAGAGAAGGAAATTGGGCAGTTTGTCAGTAAGAGGGCGGGAGTAGGAGTGACAAGCTTTCGTTTTAGAGAAGCAAGCAAGTCTGATTGGTGGGAAGAAGCTCGTCACAGTGAAAATCAGACCTGGATGGGCCTGGTACAGGTGTACGAAAACGGGGCCAAGGCAGGCGACCACCCGTGAAAGAAGCAGCATCTGAAGCTGTTCTGTGTACCCACTGCACCCCCCCACTCCAAGTCCCTCCAGGCCATCTTGCCCCTCTCATCACTGCCCCTCACTTCTGTGCATACCTTCTTCTCAAAGCCCCTGAGAAGGACGTAGGACAGAGAATCTGAATGTGTGTCAGAGGTAAGGAAACCGAGGCACAGAGGCGGGAAAAAGCCTCGCTGCCATCAAGTCCATTCTGACTCCTGGTGACCCTGTGGGACAGAGTAGAACTGCCCCGTAGGGTTTCTGAGGCTATTATCTCTGTGGAAGCCGACTGCCTGCCTCACTGTTCTCCAGAGGAGTCGCTGGTGGGTTTGAACTGCCAGCCTTTCCCTTAGCAGCCCAACATTTAACCCACTCTACCAGCAGGCCTCCTAATGAAAGAAGAATAGTTGCCCCTGTGGTTGGTTAAAGGAAGACCAAGACAGGAACACCGAGGTCCCTGGCTTCTGTCACAGCTGTCCTATTTGGCCACCACTGCCTGCCCCACCTCTCAGCCTGCTTGTCTAGCTGGCAAACAACTCTTCCTGGCCAATAAACCAGATCCTTCCTTCTTCCTTTTCACCCTCAGGGAGAGAGTTTCCTTTGTTTTCTGTCAAGGCTGGGCAGGCCAAATGTGAGCTGGTTTACCTGCAGAGACAGGTGACCAAGCAGGACATGCCCACAGGAGGACTGCTGTATGCCACTTATTTTTCCCTTTTGGTGATGTAAAACCCAGAGTCACCTTGTGAGGAGGCATCATTTGAATTTCCGAGTCCCAGCCCGGAACTGAGGCCGAGGTAGGGGTGTGGTGGGAGGATGCTGTGACTTGACCACGGCTTCGCTAGGTCCTCAGGGCTGGGGACAGTCTCAAACTCATTGTTGTGCGGTCATAGCTGACCCTGCAGGGGCTTTTCAGAGGCTGTAAATCACATGGGAGGTCAGCATTCTTCTTTCTACCTCGAAGCCGAGGGTGGATTCGAACTGTCAGAGAAGTGGCCCCGTTTGGGTGAGCAGAGCAAGTATCTACAGACGATGCCACCAAAGTGCCCTAAGCAAGGAGAAAACCAACTTTACCCCATTGCTGTCGATTTGATTCTGACTCAGACAGCCCTGTAAGACACTGGAACCCCCGCACAGGGGCTCCAAGGCCACGTCATTCTTCCTTGTGTGGACTAGTGGCTTTGAACGACCCACTTTATGGGTAGCAACCAGCTACTTTAACCACTGCTTCACTGGGGCTGTTTTGAAGCAAAGCAAAAGGAGCCCTGTTTACATATCAGACTGCTAACAGAAAGGTTGGCTGTTCAAATCCAGCAGCTACTATTGTGGAAGAAAGGCAGTCTCCTGCAAAACTGAACAGCTTCAGGAACCTGATGGAGGCTGTAATTCACATGGCTGTAAATCACATTGACTCTGTGGACGTGGATTTGGGGTTTATGGGGAGTTTAATTCAAAATGCAGACTGAGAGGAAGGGCAGAGGGAGGTGGCCAGTGAGCAGAGTGCCCAGCCTGTGGAGGTGGCATCCTGTGGGGAAACCCAGGCCTTTGGGCAGGGGTGACTTGATTCTCTACTCTCTGGGCTGCTTGCTGCATATGGCAGAAAGCCCTCCGAGGCCCTGGGAGTGTAAGCAACCTCAAACCTCTGCTGTTTACTTACAGGGCGGAGTTTCTTCTTGCTGGTTTTCTCTCCTTGAGCGATCCAGTTATTTCAGCGTCACTGAGCGGTGTGTTACTTAAACCCCGAAGAGCCAGCGTCTTCAGGGATGGGGACGTGAGCTCTTGGTCTGGCTCATAGCCACAGAAAGATCAGGGGCATTTGCTGACCTTTAGGACACCCGCTGACATTTAGGACTGCTAAGTGACTGCAGTCCTGGGGGTGGGGGTGTCAGAGACAATAAGGCTGGTACAGGATAGAGCAGGGTTCAGAGCTGTTGTACACAGGGTCACAATGAGTCACAGGCTACTCGACGGCACATAACAATGATGACAACAACAACAAGGTCATCATAACGGCCAGCAAGAGGACTAACAGCAGAACCAGACTGGGGAACTCTGGGTTCGTATTTACCAAGCTAGAGGAAGAGGGCTTTGAGAGCTGTTCATATCAGGGAGGAGATTGCCTGTCTTTCTCCCTCAGAGCAGATGATGGATTTGAACTGCCTGCCTTTGGGTTGGCAATGCAATTCCTTATCCAGTTAGGCAGGCCACCAGAGCTCCCTAAGAGGGCCAATGATCACAATTAAGATGACTGGGACTGGAAGGACAGTGGCCGTTTGAAACATAGTACT